AAGAAGCAGAGGGAAAGGTGAGGAAGCAGGAGGAGGGTGAGGAAGCAGGAGGGAGAGGTGAGGAAGCAGGAGGGAGAGGTGAGGAAGCAGGAGGGAGAGGTGAGGAAGCAGGAGGGAGAGGTGAGGAAGCAGGAGGGAGAGGAGAAGAAGCAGGAGGGAGAGGTGAGGAAGAAGGAGGGAGAGGTGAGGAAGCAGGAGGGAGGGGTGAAGAAGCAGGAGGGAGAGGAGAAGAAGCAGGAGGGAAAGGTGAGGAAGCAGGAGGGAGGGGTGAGGAAGCAGGAGGAGAGGTGAGGAAAGCAGGAGGGAGAGGTGAGGAAGCAGGAGGGAGAGGTGAGGAAGCAGGAGGGAGAGGTGAGGAAGCAGGAGGGAGAGGTGAGGAAGCAGGAGGGAGGGGTGAGGAAGCAGGAGGGAGAGGTGAGGAAGCAGGAGGGAGAGGTGAGGAAGCAGGAGGGAGAGGTGAGGAAGCAGGAGGGAGAAAGGTGAGGAAGCAGGAGGAGGGGTGAGGAAGCAGGAGGGAGAGGTGAGGAAGCAGGAGGGAGAGGTGAGGAAGCAGGAGGAGGGGTGAGGAAGCAGGAGGGAGAGGTGAGGAAGCAGGAGGGAGAGGTGAGGAAGCAGGAGGGTGAGGAGAGTCTTGTTCAGTTTTGTGATAATCGCTCAAATTCACCACAGTGAATTAGACACATGTACAACTTCTGGATATGTTGCAGACATTGCGCCATCCATTGGCTTTGTCAACGCTATGGATGGGCATAACAGAAATATATGAAACAAATAGTCCTTCAGCCTACGAGCAGGTGATGAGAACGCCTCGAAATGGTAAGGAATTTCTAAAGAAATACACTCTCTTGCCCATAAAGAGACTTATATACAAAACGTAAAGAGTGTACAGGGTACAAGACTGTCCCAAACTGTGCACACACGAGGTGTTGAGAACTAGTGGTAATGAAGTGAAGATGATATAGCAGCCTCTCAGAAATGTGGCCGACCATACCTCAACCCGGCATCAGGAACCACAACTTTGTATCTTCTAAATCAGTGTTGGCCTTCCTCTAAAACCTGCAGGTAGAGTTAGCTTAACTAGAAGTTCTGGTAGAATCAGTAGCTGGAGCGTCACAGCTTGACGAACATGAAGCAGCTTCAAGTAAGTTATGACTTTATGCATTAGTGTATAAAATATGCCTCTATTATTGGTGCTAGCTAAGTACCTCATGGTGTTATTGGTGCTAGCTCAGTACCTCAGGGTGTTAATGGTGCTAGCTCATACATTATGGAGTTATTGTGCTAGCTCAGTAAATTCTGGGGTTATTGGTGCTAGCTCAGTACCTCATGGTGTTATTGGTGCTAGCTTAGTGCCTCATGGTGTTATTGGTGCTAGCTCAGTACCTCAGGGTGTTACTGGTGCTAGCTCAGTACCTGATGGTGTTATTGGTACTAGCTTAGTGCCTCATGGTGTTATGTGCTAGCTTAGTGCCTCATGTGTTATTGTGCTAGCTCAGACTCAGGTGTTATTGGTGCTAGCTCAGTACCTGATGGTTATTGGTTGCAGCTCAGTACTTTTGGTGTTATTGGTGCTAGCTCAGTACCTCATGGTGTTATTGGTGCTAGCTTAGTGCCTCATGGTGTTATTGGTGCTAGCTCAGTACCTCAGGGTGTTATTGGTGCTAGCTCAGTACCTGATGGTGTTATTGGTGCTAGCTTAGTGCCTCATGGTGTTATTGGTGCTAGCTTAGTGCCTCATGGTGTTATTGGTGCTTGCTCAGTACCTCAGGGTGTTATTGGTGCTAGCTCAGTACCTGATGGTGTTATTGGTGCTAGCTCAGTACTTCTTGGTGTTATTGGTGCTAGCTCAGTACCTCATGGTGTTATTGGTGCTAGCTTAGTGCCTCATGGTGTTATTGGTGCTAGCTCAGTACCTCAGGGTGTTATTGGTGCTAGCTCAGTACCTGATGGTATTATTGGTGCTAGCTTAGTGCCTCATGGTGTTATTGGTGCTAGCTCAGTACCTCAGGGTGTTATTGGTGCTAGCTCAGTACCTGATGGTGTTATTGGTGCTAGCTTAGTGCCTCATGGTGTTATTGGTGCTAGCTTAGTGCCTCATGGTGTTACTGGTGCTAGCTCAGTACCTCAGGGTGTTATTGGTGCTAGCTCAGTACCTGATGGTGTTATTGGTGCTAGCTTAGTGCCTCATGGTGTTATTGGTGCTAGCTTAGTGCCTCATGGTGTTATTGGTGCTAGCTCAGTACCTCAGGGTGTTATTGGTGCTAGCTCAGTACCTGATGGTATTATTGGTGCTAGCTTAGTGCCTCATGGTGTTATTGGTGCTAGCTCAGTACCTCATTGTGATATTGGTGCTAGCTCAGTACCGCATGGTGTTACTGGTGCTAGCTCAGTACCTCACAGTGTTGAAGATTGAGACACTTATGCAGCATATGGGAATCTTTATTCAGGAAACGTTTCGCCACACAGTGGCTTCATCAGTCCAATACAAAGAGGAAGGCGTAAGGAGATTAGGAGTATGAGGTAATCAGTCCCTCAGCCTGGAGTCGATGTGTTCAGTCCATCAATCTTGATGGACTGAACACATCGACTCCAGGCTGAGGGACTGATTACCTCATTCTACTCCTCTCCTTACGCCTTCCTCTTTGTATTGGACTGATGAAGCCACTGTGTGGCGAAACGTTTCCTGAATAAAGATTCCCATATGTTGCATAAGTGTCTCAATCTTCAACTCGTCGGTTTTTCAAACCATTCATCACACCTCACAGTGTTATTGGTGCTAGCTCAGTACCTCATGGTGTTACTGGTGCTAGCTCAGAACCTTATGGTGTTACTGGTGCTAGCTCAGTACCTCACGGTGTTACTGGTGTTAGCTCAGAACCTTATGGTGTTACTGGTGCTAGCTCAGTACCTCACGGTGTTATCCCAAAACTCTTCCCAACATTTATACATCTACTCTTAGGAGAGATGTATCGGATGTGAAAATTTAGATATCCATGGATGAGAATGTGTATGAGGATGTCTTATTTATTTTGCGGATGCGGATATCTGTTTACAGTAAAATGCGGATACGGATGCGGATGCGGATGCAAGAAATTTTGTGGATGTTGCGCGGATGTGGATATCCGATACATTTCTAACTCTTAGCCTAATTAACTGATCAAATCTTTCAAACACTTAATAACACTAATAAAGGCGATAATTGGTAATAAATTATTGCTAAATATTTATCTATATTAGATCCACTCTCTCCCTGCATCGTACCTCTTCTTAAAGCTATGTATGGATCCTGCTTCCCCTACTTCACTCTCCAGATATTTCCACCTCTGGACAATTCTGTAACTGAAGAAATACTTTCTAACATCCTTGTGGCTCACCTGAGTTTTCATATTCCAGCTGTGACCTCTTATTGTTGTGTCTCATGTCAGAAATATTCTGTCCCTATCCACCTTGTTAATTCCTCTCAATATTTTATGTTATCATGTCCTTCCTATCCCTCCTATCCTCCAGTGTCGTCAGGTCGATTTCCCTTAACCTCTCCTCTTCTAAACACGGATACTAGTCTTGTTGCCTATCTTTCCACTTTCTCTAGTTTCTTGACGTACTTGACCTGGTGTGGGTTCCATATTGGTGCTGCATACTCAAATATAGGTCTGACGTACATGGTATACAGTCGTGAAAGATTCCTTGCTAAGGTGTCGAACTGATATTCTTAGGTTTGCCAGGCGCCCATTTGCCGCAGTAGTTATTTGGTTGAAATGCGCCTCGAGAGATGTGCTCGGTATTTTACTCACCCCAAGTTCGCTTCCATTGAGTGAGATTTTCAGTTTTTGCTCCCCTAGCTTGTACTCTGTCCACGGTCTCCTTTGACCTTTCCCAAACTTCATGACATTGCACTTGGTGGAGTTAAACTCCAGGAGCCAGTTACTGCACCAGTCACGCACCCTGTCCAGATCCCTTTGTAGTTCTAACTGGTCCTCGTCCACTTGAATTCTCCGCATTAGCTTCATATCATCAGCAAATAGGGATACTTCTGAATCTATCCCTTCTGTCATTCAAGTATAACAGGATGAGCAACGGCCTAGAACTGACTCTTGTGGAACTCCTCTCGTCACAGGCGCCCACTCTGACACCTGTTCACCTACCGTCACTCGTTGTTTCCTCCCTGTCAAGTATTCTTTGATCCATTGCAATGATTGTTCCTCTAGCTTTTCACTAATCTCTGTGGCAAAGGCTTTCTTGCATTCCAAGAAAATGAAGTCTATCCACCCCTCTCTTTCTCCCTCTCTTTCTCCCTCTCTTGTCATCTTATCATAAAACTCCAGTAGGTTTGTGACACAGGGTTTCCTTCCCTGAAACCGTGCTGGTTGTCGTTTATTAGCTTGTTTCTTTCTAGGTGTTCCACCACTCATCTAACAAGGTAGACTTGACCCAAGCAACCACCAGTACGTGAGTGCCAATAAGAGAATGTAGTGATACACGAATTACCTCCTCAAAAATGGCATGTTAAACTTAATGGTAAAACGCTAAAATTTCAGTAATGATTTTATTAAAGATTAAAGATTGCCGGTATGCTCCCGGCCAGGCTTTTCCAAGTGGTGGCGGCCTTGACTCCCTCTTTAGGGTCTGGACTCTAAGTCTCCCATGGTGAGGAGGCACAAGTACTCCTCAGTTTGGGACACAACTGTCCCCAGGCTGCTCAAGCTAGGCCTCTTCTGGTCTGCCATCCCCGCCCAAGGAGACAAATGGGAATGACAGTCTTATGAGCTAAAGGATCGGGTCGCACCTACCCTACCCTAGAAGGATTAGGCATGGTGTCGATGTTCAGTAATGATTCTGAAGCTCATACTAAGTGATAACACGAAGCTATTTCAATATTATTTGCATAAGTGTATGCAAAAAATCAACCAAGATGACTCTGATGCAGTTAATACTTCTAAGGTTAAAAAAGGCATTATTTTGAATACTTTTAATTATACACACCATTAATTATGCTATTTTTTTGTTTCATAAATACATTATAGAAATGTACTCGCATTTCATTACATAAAAACGTAATAAATTCGTGACTAAACATTTATTTAAGCCCCTCTAGCTACTGAAGCCACTTTCAAAACATTCAGAAAAATTACGTCGTCTTCAAAATCCTCAAACTGGCAAGGTGTTTGGCTTCACATAATTACTGTTACAATACACAAATAACCAGTAGATAGGAGAGAGAAGTTTATGACAACGTTTCGGACAGGTTTGGACCATTTACAAGTCACACCAGCCCATGTAGGACGGAAACGTCGTCACAAGCCTCTCAGAGCTCTTAAGTCCGGGTTAAGAATTATTTTACCAGTTACTGTGTCCTACCTTATTCTTCTTTAGTCACTCTTCACTTGTCCTCAACACTTCCTTCTAAACAATAAACCAACGCTTTATATAACATAAAACATATTATAGACGTTATAATTAGTTGGCTGCTCGTAGCCCATCTACCAGCAGTTTGAAGTACACTCTCAGCATGTATATAAGATAAAATTTCGTTCGGATTTTTAACCCAGCAGGGTTAGCCACCCAGGGTAACCCAAGAAAGTCAGTGCGTCATCGAGGATGTCTGTCTTATTTCCATTGGGGTCCTAAAACTTGTCCCCCAGGATGCGACCCACACCAGTCGACTAACATCCAGATACCTACTTGTTGATAGGTGAACAGGACAACAGGTGTAAAGAAACGCGTCGAAATGTTTCTACCACAGGTTTCTACCCCGCCGGGAATCGAACCCGGCGGGTTACAATCATTTCGACATACACCTCCCGGTGTACATGCTTCTTGGATAATTAATATTATATATAAAATTTCTGGATATTATGCGTGAAAAACAACGTAGATCGTCATTTTTTACGTAGGTTTTAATGTAGTGAAAGAGCTAAGAGCGTCATACCTTAATTTGGATTAACATAATTAAAAATTCTAAGTTAGGGAGAAAATCAAATCAGGGACCGGGTGGTGGTTTGAACTAAGGGCGAGTGAGTAATTAAACTCACAGGTCAGAGTGAACCCAGGGTGAGTGTGTCCTCAAACTCACAGGTCAGTTTGAACTCAGTTTGATTCACTCGCCCTGATTCAGGGCGAGTGAATCAGTGCACTTGTCGGTGAGTATCAGAACTCATTCGCCATGGGTTCAAACCCCACCCGTTTCCTGATTTCTTTGCAATCGTGTCAAAGGAAGAAAACGCTCACACTGTTGAAAATATATGATTATTACATAGAGATTACTCCTATTGGACAGTAGGCCTCTCAAAAAATATTCGTTGACTTGGTGCGCATTCTATATAAATACATCCTAATTTTTCACTAAAACAGTCACGATCAAAGAGAAGGAAAATGTATTTGAAATTATACATCTTGTATGACTCACACTAGTGTATCAAAAATGGGTAGAGGCTTCAAGTAAAAATACAACTACAATCAGCAATATACCTGAATAATTTAGTTCGTAAGTTCACGAATTGAAAAACATCTGAAGTCTGTGTCTTGTTGCATCACCGTTTGTAACTTTTCACTTCAGTGACTTATGTTGTGGAGGTCTGTATTTTAAGCATAAACACTGTAACCTATATTAGTAACGTTTTGGTAACACCCGAGTAACGCTTTTGTTCAAGTTACCAACATGACAAAGCATTAAGACTTTAACAAAATCTAATTTAAAACTTTAGCGTCTAACGCCTAAAAAATAAACAATAACTTCTGAATGTCGGTCTGAGAGCTCATATATCTGAAGAAAAGTATTTCACATCCATTTTTATACAATTATCAAAATATATAATAAAAGTACACATATGTTTTACATCCCCAGGGGATACAACACGCAGTTACGTGAAGATTTTTATGTCTTTCTAACGTTTGTGTCGTTTCCACTAGCGACACAAGCGTTAGAAAGACATAAACATCTTTACTTCTGTCTGACAATAGAACTGGGTTGGGGCGGACGCCAAACATAAGTCGTCTCCTGATATGATGTACATGTCCAAGGTCTTGCCAGAGACAGCTGAGGATTTATTGCAGCTGAGAACACGAATCTACAAGCAGTCATTAGCGTTTCCTACGGCTTGGATCTGGAGCTTCATGGTATGAGGAGGATGTCCGAGGGACTCGGGAGCAGCAGGACCAGTGATATCATCACTGTTAGGACACTGGTCACACTTTCTGGACATCCTAGAGCAATCAAAAAGGTATCAGTTCCTATATTAATATGGATCATCCTAATATTGCACAAATGTAAACACGGATATTCACATGTAAGAAAGATAACGACCCCATCTCCAGCCCACCACATACTAACCCACCCCATTAGCAAAGTCGACCAGCCCACCTCCACCCACCACGTACCTCGGGCGGCGGAGGCTGCGGCGGCAGCTCGACCCTCCATGATGGATGCGTGGAAGGGAACATCAGCAGTGACTGAGGCTTCAGTGCTCCGGAAGTAGACGTTGAAAATGGAAGCCGTGCACTTGACGGAGACGCTGCCGCTCCGACGCAGTAGTCTGGGCCGAAGCGCAAAGCGCAGACCCAAGACCGCAGTTTCCAGACCCGTCTCTGGGTCCTCCACGGGAGAATAATGGATTAACCAACCCGGGTCTGCCTGAGAGTTCAAGACGGTGAATTAGGCACAGAGAGGAGGCATGAACCAGGCAGCATAAGAGAAAGAGAATAAAAATGCAAAACTAAATACTCTCAGCTGTTGTCCCTATTATTATTATTATTATTATTATTATTATTATTATTATTATTATTATTATTATTATTATTATTATTATTATTATTATTACTGGTTACTGTAGTGGCTGCTATTATAAATATTTGTCTTAGAGCTCACAGGCCAGTGCGTTAACTGCTGGACCAGTTGGATATCATATGATTCATCCAACTAGGTATAATTCTATTCACCGTAGGAAGGATAGCATGAGCCACCACTGTGACCACAGATGCAGGCATTTATTACGATTTCGTGAGTCATGATGGCGGCTTTGAAGTGACTTGAGCTAGAGCACACCGCAGCCACCCTGGTGGAGGATTCATCTGTATAAGCCTGCATTTGTCGTCACAATGGTGGCCCATGTTAACTTCCCTGTGGAAGTTGGATGATATTTATTAGAGTCAACTGGCACAGTAGTTAACATACTGGACTGTGAGTTTTAGAACTCACTTGCCATGGTTCAATCCCAACACGTTCTGTGATTTACTCTAGTAGTAGTAGAAGTTGTAGTTTCATCAGTGTTAATATTATATTGCATGATGGCACTTAGCTCATGAAAGTCACATACACACACACACACACACACACACACACACACACACACACACACACACACACACACACACATACACACACCTGTCCATAAATCTAACCTTTGAACCTCCAGTAAAGAAATACCATATATATATATATATTATATATATATATATTTATATATATATATATATATATATATATATATATATATATATATATATATATATATATATATATAATATAATATATATATTATATATATATATATAATTTATCAATTACGTTTCTTGGATATTTCAAATCTTTAGATATTTCATAAATTTTGGATATTTCCTCATCTATGAACTCTGGACTACAAATACGTAAAGCTCTCAAAAACATTGATGAGAAAATAGACAGTTTAACTCTATCTTGATGTGAAGAATAATAGTGGACATAGGAACAGTTATTTGTAGGTTTTCTGTAAATTTTAAGATTAAATTCATTATTACTCTTAATAATTAAAACATCTAGAAAAGGCAATGAGTTAATTATGATTTACCATTGTCAGTCCCTACTATCATTAAACTTACTAAACTTTGAACTGTTGATGCAAAATTTGTATTTAATGATAAGTTTTGCACTCAGAAGTTTGGTATGGCAATGGGAAATCCTCTTTCACCTGTTCTTAGTAACCTATACATGGAATTTTTTGAAACAAGATTGCTTAACACAATCCTCCCTAATAGAGCTAAATGGTTCAGATATGTTGATGATATTTTGTGTCTTATGCCCAAGAATGTAGATATACACCATTTCCTTGGCAAATTAAATAACTTAGCCCATTCTATAAACTTTAATGTTGAGTTTGAAGAAAATAACTCATTGCCTTTTCTAGATGTTTTAATTATTAAGAGTAATAATGAATTTAAATTTAAAATTTACAGAAAACCTACAAATAACTGTTCCTATGTACACTATTATTCTTCACATCAAGATAGAGTTAAACTGTCTGTTTTCTCATCAATGTTTTTGAGAGCTTTACGTATTTGTAGTCCAAAGTTCATAGATGAAGAAATATCCAAAATTTATGAAATAGCTAAAGATTTGAAATGCCCAAGAAACGTAATTGATAAATCTTTTAAAACTGCTAGAAATACTTTTTACAATCCAAAAAGGGACAACCAGCCTTATTCAACTAAAAATATGTTGGTTCTCCCTTACCATGAAAACTTGGTTGATATGCCTTCTCTTCTTAAGACTTTTAATATTAAAGTTGTATTTAAAAATCTTGATACAGTAAAAAAAAACTTTTGATAAAGAATTCCCCCCAAAATGCTGACGGATGTGTCTATAAGATTCCTTGTAAAATTTGCTATAAAGTTTATTACGGTCAAACTGGTAAAAATTTCGAACTAAGATTAAAACAACATAAATATAGCATTAGAACTGGACAAGATTCCAATGCTCTATTTATTCATGTGAGAGATTTTAGCCATCCAATTGATTTTCAAAAAGTTGAGAAAGTTGTATCAAGCAAGTCCATGGTCGACAGAAATATAATTGAATCTTGTTTCATAAAAAGCAGTTTTGACAATAATATGAATATTTCCTTTGGTTTATATAAATTAGATCCATTTATAATTAATAGAATTTGGGAAGAATTTAATAATAAATTGGACAAATAATAAATTTTAAAATTATTAATTCTTGGGTAGAATAGTTTGTTTGTGGGTTGTGTGAAAGACCTGTTTAGTTGGGCCAGCAGGCCTGCTGCAGTGTTCCCTTTCTTATCAGTCGCGCGTCAGGTGTTGCTTTGTTGTGGGATGTGATGGTGAAGTGTGATCTAGACCCTTTATATACCTTCCTTTGATGCATTACTTTTATTGTTCCTTGGAATGTGAGTAGTCACGAATGCGCTTGGAATTTCTCTATTCTTTCACAGTGGTTGTTTTGCATATATATATATATATATATATATATATATATATATATATATATATATATATATATATATATATATATATATATATATATATATATATATATATATATATATATGTTTAGTTAGTTACCATTTTGTCCTAGGCACATGTCGATTAGATACTAGGCCTGTTGTATTGCGAGTGTGTCTGTGAGGGTGTGTCTGTGAGTGTGTGTGTGTGTGTGTGTGTGTGTGTGTGTGTGTGTGTGTGTGTGTGTGTGTGTGTGTGTGTGTGTGTGTGTGTGTGTGTGTGTGTGTGTGCAAAAGAACCACTATGAAAGAATAATGAAATCCCAAAACACTTTCGTGACTACTCACATTATCAAGGAAAAATAAAAGCAATGCATCAAAGGAAGGCGTATAAAGGGTCTAGACCACACCTCACTATCACATCCCACAACAAAGAAACACCTGACGCGCGACTCAAAAGAAAGAGAACACTGCAGCAGGCCCGCCGGCCCAACTAGACAGGTCCTTCATGCAACACATAAACAAACTGTTCTACCCAAGAATTAAGATTTATTATTTGTCCAACGTAATATTAAATTCTTCCCAAATTCTATTAATTATAAATGGATCTAATTTATATAAACCAAAGGAAATATTCATAGTATTTTCAAAACTGCCTTTGATGAAACAAAATTCAATTATATTCCTGTCGACCATGGACTTGCTTGATACAATTTTCTCAACTTTTTGAAAATCAATTGGATGGTTAAAATCTCTCACATGAATAAATAGAGCATTGGACTCTTGTCCAGTTCTAATGCTATATTTATGTTGTTTTAATCTTAGTTCGAGAGTTTTACCAGTTTGACCGTAATAAACTTTATCGCAAATTTTACAAGGAATCTTATAGACACATCCATCAGCATTTTGGGGGGAATTCTTTATCAAAAGTTTTTTACTCTATCAAGACTTTTAAATACAACTTTGATATTAAAAGTCTTAAGAAGAGAAGGCATATCAACCAAGTTTTCATGGTAAGGTAATGAATCTAACACAGAGTGAGAGTTGTCACAGTTGCACTTTGCTGATAACACTGTGCTTTTGGTAGATTCTGAAGAGATGTTGCAGAGGTTGGTGGATGAGAATAATAAAAAAAATAGGAACGAAAGACTGGATATCAGATTGGAGGGAAAAAAGATGGAGGAGGTGAATGTATTCAGATATTTAGAAGTGGACGTGAGGTGAATCATAGAACTGACGAGGTGAAAAAGGTGAGTGATGCACTGAGGAATCTGTGGAGACAAAGAACTTTGTCCGTGGAAGCAAAGAATGGAATGCATGAGAGTATAACTATACCAACGCTCTTATATGGGTGCAAAGCATAGGTGTTGAATGTTGCAATAAGGAGAAGGCTGGAGGCAGTGGAGATGTTGTATCCGAGGGCAATGTGTGGTGTGAATATAATGCAAATAATTCGTAGTTTGGAAATTAGGAGGTGCAGGATTACGAAAACTATTATACAGAGGGCTGAGGAAGGGTTGTTGAGGTGGTTCGGACATGTAGAGAGAATGGAACAAAACAGAATCACTTCGAGTGTACATAAATCTGTGGTGGAGGGAAGGCGAGGTAGGGGCCGGCCTAGAAAGGGCTGGAGGGAGGGGATAAAGACGGTTTTGTGTGCGAGGGGCTTGGACTTACAGCAAGCGTGCGTGAGAGTGTTAGAAGCGAATGGAGACAAATGGTTTTCAGGACTTGACGTGCAGGGTAATATTTATGAAGGGATTCAGGAAAACAGCAGACCGGACTTGAGTCCTGGAGATGGGAAGTACAGTGTCTGCACTCTGAAGGAGGGGTGTTAATGTTGCAGTTTTATAACTGTAGTGTAAAGCACCCCTCTGGCAGGACAGTGATGGAGTGATTGATGATGAAAGCTTTTTTTCTTTTTCGGGCCACCCTGCCTTGGTGGGAAACGGCCGATGTGTTAACATAGCAATATATATATATATATATATATATATATATATATATATATATATATATATATATATATATATATATATATATATATATATATATATATATATATATATATATATATATATATATATATATATATATATAATATATATATATATCATTGTATGTATGCTGGGAGTTTAAGGTCTATAATGTGATTAAAATGTCCTTGTCTAACGGTGAAAAGGTTACCGTACAGCCATAATGACCTCACTGCCCTTGACAGGTTATAAACTCTCATTATCCTACCAACAACTAAAATTTGTTTATCTTCATCAGAGGCAAAAAAAGAAAAAAAAAATCCGCACGTTTCTCCTTATGGATAATTGAACCACACACTGCCAGTAGCAGAGGTCTTCATGCGGTGAATAAACCTTCTGGATCTTTGGTTTTATATCTATACTGCTGGCTAGTTTTTCAC